GAATGTCTCCACGAAGGCGCATCATGCATGCAGGGTGGTGAGCGCCTCTCTGCGGATCATGGTGGCCCACGCGATGTGACTCAGCACCGCCCGCAGAGCATAACCTGTCGCCCAGCGTCTCCGCAGCAGGCTGCTGATCGCCGCCCTCAGCCTCCAGACGTTTCGGGCCTTGCTGGTCAGCGATGTCCCCTCATGCAGCCGTGGCCCGAGAAATTCGACGTCGGCGGACGCCTCGCTGATCTCGTGAACTACCAGCCCCGCGAGCCTGAGATGACTGGCCAGCTTGTAGAGCAGGCGGTTGGCCGCCTCGGGCGCGGCGCCGACGGCGATCGCGTTGTCGACGTAGGCCCCAGCGGCTACGGGTCGGCCCCGATCCAGCTGGATGCCGACCTGGCCGTCCACGATGACGTTGGATGGGCCCACCCCGCTGCGCAACAAGCAGGTGGCCGACACCTCCTGGCACAGGCGCAGGGCCCGCGAGAAGCCCGTCGGCAACACCACCACCTTGGCGATGACCAGCTGACCAGGTGCGAACGCCAACTCCGCGAGGCCTGCCTCCATCAAGAACGTCGCGCCGATGGCGGGCAGCGCGATGTAGCCCCCCATGCCTGCCGGGAGACGCACGCGGTAGAACGCGCGCTCCAGGTCGACGGTGGCGACGTAGGCGCCCGACGGAGGCACCTCCAACGAGCTCCGAGCTGATGCCGTGGGTAGCCTGGTCTTTGGAGGCGGCCGAAAGAAACAACTTGCGATCGTCTATCAAAGCAGATGCGTTGACCCCCATTCTTCTTGGGAGCGAATAACAGGCCCACAGAAACCTTGGCACCCACCGCCTCCGAGAACGAAACCATCCCACGGGCGTGGGGCTCACCCGAGAACTCAGCGCAAACGCGCGGGCCGCCGAAGAGCTTCCGATCGCAGTAAGCACCGCGGGGGCAAGCGGTCGACATCAGCTCAGCGGCCTCCTCTTGAGGTCTAAGCATATGGCTCCGCCAGTGCCTTGAACGCCCCTCCTCCAAGCTGCCCACAAGGGGGGCAACGTCCACCGGGCGCCCACCTAGAGCAGGCCACGAGATATGCTCTCGGTTGCAGGGCACAGACGGGTTGGGCGCGTGGTCGCCGTAGACCGACACGCCGCGGAGGAACTCCTCGAGGGCTCCGTCCTCGCAAGCACTCGTCTCTCCATACTTCTCTGGAAGTCGTCCCAGCCGATGAAGAGCGGTGCTCATATGGTCAATGGCGGCGCGCTGGCACTCGTTGACGGGGAGGCCAACTTCGCCGCGACAACCGTAGAGTGCATCCAGGGACGCAGTGGCCTCGTTTAGCCGAGCCCGATGATGAGCACGCACAGCCCGACGTCTCTGCGAGCAGCGCCCGCCAGCATCATATCGAGAAAGTACTGACCCCACAAGCGGCAACGGGAAGACGTCGCGCTGGCGGTCGCCTCCGCGGCGGTGCAAGTCCGCCGAGCCGGTGTGGCCATCTGTGCTGAACGGCCCGCCGGTCTCCCAGGCCGCTCCACAGTGATGGCATCATGACTCCGCGGCGGACGCGCCGCGCCCGCCGCCCTTCTACTTGGACTTCGGCTTCCGAGGCCTCTCAGGTACAGAATCGGCCCCACCAGCTGCGAGAGCACGTTCCTCGCAAGCTTTGCGCCGCTCCTTCGCTATGGCCGAATCCTTCTGCAGCTGCTGCGACACGAAGTCCCGAAGGAGCGGAGCCGCGCACGCGTGGCCGCGACCGTGCGCGAGGCCGGTCATCAGATTCTCGCTCACGCCGAAGTCCGTCTCGCTCTCGAAACGGTGCCGATACCTCTCGCTATCGGTCTGAATGGCTCTCGCCACGATCTCCATCGAAGCCAGGTTAGAGCTGTGCAGCTGAGCGTAGCACGGGCCGACTTCCAACATCCAGCACATGAACTCATGGTTCGCGACCCCTGGCTCGTCATCGTGAAGCTGCCCGTCGGCGCGCCACTTCAGGTGCCAAGCCATGGGGGACCCGGCAACGCGATGGATGAAGTGCGCCACCCAGAGCAGCGTCCTCGGGCCGCCGATCGGCCAGTCGCTGAACGGGGCCTCCACGAGCAAACGCACGGCGTCGCCGAAGTCGCGATGCCGCTCCCCACGGATGTCGTGGGTCACGGCCATGATCCTCAGGTCGCCTCCCGGAGCAGCCGCCGCCGCGCCGACCGCGGCCGCGCTGGGCGCTGGCCCAGCAGCCGCTGCAGGCGCCGAGGGGGCCCCACCCGCGGCCGCCGCCGCCAAAGCCCCAGGCGCGCCCGGCGCTCCACCGCCGAGAAGAGGCACAGCCCCAGGAACCGCCGCCGCCGCGGGTGCGGCCACGAGCGCGCCGCCGCCTGCGGCCCCGCCGATGGCACCAGGGACCGCCGCGCCGCCACCGCCGACCCCGCCACCGCTGAGAGCCGCCGCCAGGCCGCCGACCCCAGCCGCCACGCCGCCACAGGCTGCTGGTGCCAGCAGCGCGCCTCCGCCAGCTCCAGGCCCGCCAAGAGCCGCCGCCAAGCCGCCAACCCCAGCCGCCGCGCCGCCGCCTCCCGCCGGGGCGGCCC